TCACTGTCTGGATTTTATCTGTACTTTTTCGAGACTTAGCAATTAAGCTATCACACTTTCCTCTGTGTGTCAGGCAAGTCAAAGGCCTCTTGGCATCCCTGACTCTACCGGGTCTGACTCCATCAGACAAGACTAAAGTACATGTGACATAACGTACATTTCATCCTTCAATATTACTAAAAGTTACTAAGGGTCCATTAAACTGGCTTTACCTTCTCCTGTTTTCATCCCACCTGTTCCAGGATGGAAAATTGAATTCTGACCACAAATTCTGACTAATGACTAATGAAATTTTCATCAAAAGGAATGAAAGCTCCACTAACCACCTTTCTATGACAGATTTTTCTTCCTACTTTTATCTTTTCACTAAAGGATCTTTTTCCAGTATACCAAACAGGCTTTCTCCCGTTTCCATCTTGAAGCTCTGAGGTTCAGATCAGATACTGTCCCAGTAGTACCAGAGAATCATAGGGATCTGAAGTCTAATGTACTTACAACTATGTGAATACTTAAAACATCCACCCAGTAACCATCTTAAATAAAATAACAATGACTTTTATTTACAAATAACTACCTGACATTATTTATAAGGATACTCTCTCACGCACTCTGACAGGACCGAGTTACTTTCTCTATCAGAAACCTCAGTTTTCAAAACGTTTGTGCAACCATCCAGAAAGAACTTATTCTAGTGATCAGCAAGAATTGCTGCTCACAAGCAATTATTGAGAGGTATGACATGAAGCAAGCAAGCATTCAACCTGACACAAGCAGAAAAGATACCCTATGCACTTGGCTCAGCACAAAAATAGTTGCAGAAAACCTTGACAACCCATGCATAAGGTGAACTACACAGCTTATCTGGGAAACATAAAAGCACTAAGGGGATAAAACCTATACTTCATTCAGCCTTGACCTGATCATTACCACAGGATGTCCATTTTCATTTCTCCTCATTTTAAGGAAACAAGATTCCTTGAGTTCTACATTTACCCATGCAAATATGCACATAACCAATTTTGTTAAATAATGACTTAGAGAACTAAAAAGTATCAGAAGGAAAAACTGTGACCAGACGTAATTTCAGCATCTCTAATGTAAATCACAGCTGGAGGTTGTATTAGCTGTTCAATAGCTCAGACTAGCATGCTTGACAGGAGTCAATGCCAGAGGTCCACAGAAGGGCAGCCATAACTACAGAGAAGTTACCAAGAAGGCCCTTAGCTGTGAGTTTGTAAGACAAGTAAATGCACATACTTTGCAAGAGAGAAATCAAAGCCAGTTAGCTGGAAACGCTCAGCCTTCAAAGGATGAGACTTCATGGCATTTTCTTGTACGTGTCAAAGTTCATGTTGGGGGGAAAAGACACTTACTTGTAAAGGTAGTATTCAGCTTGATCCACTTCCTCTCGTGAAGTAATGTTGTCAACAAACTGATTAAAAAATAAGAAACAAAATCTTAAAGAGGGAGCACTCATACAGCATATGAGAAGAAAATGTAATAACAAAATACATTTGTCTGGTATATTTAGCTGTCTGGCAGTACTGGGATTCTTTGCTTGCTCCTACTCTGCTTTCTTCTAGCCTGCTGAAAGACAAATCTTCAACTAAACTTTGGTAACAGTGAATCCTGTTTTCCTGCATGTTTTACTAACATAAGAATAAAGATTCTGGAACACTACAGAGTCTTCCCAATATAATACCTTTAGCTCAGAATATAACCATGTTCTCGAGGTTGGTACTTTTCTTTATCCTAAGCCTAAACTAAAAATAATAGTTTCAGCTAACTGGTACACAGTCTCCCACTTCTCAATTCTCTTTGCATGCTGCACTCATTTAGGTCTCATCTTTTGAGTGTGGCAATAGCATGTCTGTGTGCTTTACCTGTAAAAATGCTTGATCTTGCAACTGAACAAAGTGTTCTGTAACTCATCAGTTAGTGGTACAAGTGATCCTAATTAGTGACATTACTGAGGTACGAGGGTGGTAACTCCACTTTTCTGTATAATTTTGAAGACTGAAATTAGTTGGCTTTTTGTGCTGTGGGTTGCTTTTTTTTAAAAAAGTGAGATATTTATCCTCCTTCAGTACAAACACACAGGGAACTTAAAAACACATCTCTCATCCCTGCTTCCACTTCTCCTCTCCAGATTAACCAATCCAGAGTAAAAAACTGGTTACTAACTCCAGGAAAAATAATGACTTTTTTTAACCTTTGTCAGCATTTGTTCTGCCTCAGTCTGCTGCAAGGGAAGAAAACTACAGAAGCAAAAGTGTCCACTCTGCCTCACTCCAAAGGAAGCCTGGAAGTGGAGGAAGACAGACGGTGCAGTGTGCTAATTCACTGCATTCCCTTAGCAACCTGGGTTCTTATACAATGCCTGAGGAGGCACTAAAGCTCTCACAAAGACAGAAACCAGGAAGGCAGGGAACATACATTAGGGAATACACAATCCAGTAACAGTGAGGCCCAATTTTACTGAGGAAAAAAATATTTCTGTTTTGAAGACCCAACAGTCCTGGTACTAACTAATGAGTACAAAGTAACAATAAAACAGCTTTATACAGCAATTTAAGAGTATAACAAGACATTTATGATCCCAGAACTCTCAGCAGAGGCGCTATCATTTATCCCCACTCAGCTCACTCGATTACACAAGCATTCCACTGTGATTTCTATCACTTTATGACTGAGATTTATTTCCTTACCCGGGCTATTGTCAAAGAGCTGACAGGTAGCTTTCTGTCATAGGTTCTGTCCATTAAATGGGCTAACTCAGCTGGAGAAAGCAGAAAAAGAGTACGTTTAATCAACTGGCATTACAGGAAAATCTGCAGAGCTATCATATAATGAAGAATAGAACTTCTACCCAAATTCTCATTCCTTGTTAACATCTCATTTTGAGGTTGTATGAAAACAATGCTTTCAATTAGTGTTAAATATTTTAACATAAAATAATACATTAAAAGGTTCTTAGCATGATGATTTTAACCTACTAGTAAACAGGGGGAAAAAGCAAACTTACAATCTGCTGTATTAAACTAGTATAATTAATATAACTCATCTAAAAAAACCCTGAGCAGCTGTCCTTAAAATTCATGCTTCCTTTCAAGCCTAGCATATGCTGGACAATGCTTTTGGAATGGATTTTTATTTTACAGTAAAACAATGAGAAACAGAGACAAGCAGTACCGTACTGATAAACCCAACAGTCACAAACAGCAATCCCAAGAAATCCTGTTAATCAAACTGGGCACTCTGCCAGTACCTTATTAGCTTTATAGCATTCTGCTTCAGCAGTCACATAACAATATTAATTTGACCATACAGGAATTTACAAGCTTCTGACTGTTGAACAGGTAACCAGCCATTGCATTTAATGAATTTAATTGGCAGTTAAATTAATTTAATTTGGAGTTTTCATTTTGTACTGTTCCTGGAAAATAAAGATGACTCATAAAGAGCAAGTTGTTCCATGTATGCTTAATGCCACCTGTTTGAGTCCAAATTGAGATATGATGATGCCAAATCTATAAAATTTAGAGACTTCAATCATACTCTTTCTTTCTGTTCTCCTCCATTTCCCAGGACAACGAATCAAACATATTCCCTCTGCACCATCAGCACCTTGCTTCATCCTTTGCAACTGTTACTAAATGAGCAGCTCCTTTGGCATCTCTCAATTAGTACACTGGCCATCCTTGAAGTACTGATGGCTTGGCTCATTTTACGATTCATTTTCCAAAAATGTCACCCTATGTCCACACCTGTTACTGAAATGTGAGGCAAGCATAAATTACAGTACTACATTAGAACTGACAAACCCTTCTACTCTTGCAAAGCTGTCAGGGGAAGAATGCAGCACTGCACCAGTAGCATACTGCCTCCGAGGGATGCAGTCCATGTATGTTCTGTCCACAAAACAAGTGATACCACTATTCACCACTTTGAAATCATACCTGTATTGCAGTGAATACTGAGGGGTACACAGTTCTAGCAGTACAAACGGCATTCAATGATACTCTGATCTTATAGGTACTCTGTCAAATTACAGCACATGTACAAAGCCTTTTCTGCAGACAAATGATAGAGTCTTCACTCAGAATAAAACGGTTACCTCTTAGTTTATGCAGTGCTGCTGTCTGCCACATAGCAGTATTCCATGTTTATGTAACACCTTTTATCCTAAGGCACTTTAAGGTGTTCTTCAAAACAGAATAAGCAATTATCTTGGGCTGAGGGAAGACAAACTTTTCATGACCATGGAAGCAAAGGGAAATCTGCGGCAAAGTCACTAAGATGAGTACCAGCTCCTACGAAAGACAGTGAAGGATGAGCCAATGTGGGCCACTAAGGCCATGCTATCCCAGATAACCACTAAAACAGCAGATAGACATTTTTAACAGTAAAGAAATTTCTGTGGGAATATCCTTACAGGAAGCGTATGTATTTGACTCCACATCACCCATCTCTCCTGCACTCACAAAGGTCACGATGAAGCCCATGGATAAAGGTATTGGAAGCATTCCTAGCAGTGCTAGAATTTAGAGAGAAGGGATGCTGCGCCCAAGGCAGCTTATCCAGAACTAAGAACTGGCTAGGTCCGCGCCTAAAATGTATCAAACCAAGTGCCATCCACCATTCTTTACCTCCATTTCAAGACAGCTGCAAAGTATTCACTCCAGAATCTGATATGCTTGATGACAAAGCAACGTGGACCTGAGACAGACAAGTGCACAGACTGGGAGCTCATTTATCTATTCCAGAACTATTTTTGTTACGCATCACACTGAAAATTAGAAGGTTACCCCTATGACCATTCTGGGCCACACCCAAGCCCCAAGCTTAGCATTTCTTTTGTCTAGGTGCTCCTGAAGAGTCCACTTCAGGAAACACTGAGTACTTAGGTAAAGTATAAACCAAATGAATACAATGCCATGAAAGCAAGACCACAAGACTCTTAAGCATTATACACCAGCCTCCTCTGGGAGAGTTCACACACAGAATTTTAATGATTGACCTTTCATGCTGACTACAAAGCTGGAACTCTCCGTCTAAAGTACAGAAAGCAAAACAAAGCACTTATCTATCAACTACAGTGTAAGAGTCACATAAAATGAAAGCTGATTAAACCTAAAAGAATAGCAGACATTTGAAGATAAGGGGAAATTTAGCTTTGTTTCCAGACAAATTGCTGTTTCTGCAGTAGTTACTAGATAGGGATCATTTGCAGTGAGTAATTCTTTCCTGGGTTTTTTTCACTGAAGAGCACCTAAACCCAGAATTTTTTTTCTCATTCGTAATTTGAAATAATTCAGCTACTTTCTGTAAAGCAAACTTGCTCCATAAGTTGCTATTCAATAATCAAGATTAAAGTGTCTTCTTAGTTAAAAACATCCTGACAACAGTACTAGAATGCAAACATGTGAATGCCCAGTTATGTGAATACCCAAGCACTGATGGAGTAAAACTTGAGTGCTAACATTGGGATATAAACAAAACCAATGTTTTAATAGCCAAATCAAAATTCTACGCACATTTTAACAGACACATGTTTCAAGTGCTTTTATCTGACTCATTACCAAAGAGGACACTAGTGTATATCTCCCATTCACACTAAAAACACAAGTTGAACTTCTTCAAAACTTTGGCTTCTCTATAAATGTATTTCTGCATATAGAAGAATCTCATGGATTTAAACAATCTAACAAAACAAACCATAAATACAAGCTGAGGTCATTTAACTTCTGGATATGACTTCACAGTGCTGTGACTGGTATCTGAGATTTATTTCATGGTAATTTTCATTTGTTCACAGAATCTCAGTGCCTTGCTGCCTGCAACATGGTGAGTCAGAACAATGACTGGGAAAACACTGACCCTCACCTTCCAAGTCAGTGGCCATGACCTCTAATACCAGTTTGGTGGCCCAGGAAATCACAGTTTCGTCTTGACTGACAGTGTGTACCTATACACAGCATGTAGTCACATCAACAAGTAGCACAATATCAAAAAGTAGCACATCTGGCCACCATCTTAAGGTCACTTTTATTCTATTTATACCCTTGCATTCTTAGAAGTAGTTCACCCAGGGCAGTGTTGTGATCCAGTGATGGGGAAAGTGGACACAACTGCAGGGCAAAGCCCCAGGAATGATGGACAGAGTTTATACCTTAACTCACAGGCTGACAGTTTGATAAAGAGAAAGCCTTGATTTATTTTAAAGATCCAATTAAAGTATAAAGGAAGGCCAAGACAAGTATTTTGCCTTACAAATTTATATATTCCACGTTTCTCTCTACTTGCACATGCCTAGCAGCTTCTGTAAAGAACAGCTTTGTACTGAACATGGCTTTGAATGGCATTTATTCAAGCGGTAAGGGCAGCACCGCCACCTGGTGTTCCAGATGAACCATTTTCGGTACTGTGACTCTAACAAAAACCAAGATTTCCTATCTCACCTCGATTCCTCTATCCCCTGGGATTCCGGTAATTGCTTTTGTTTTCATCAGGGTGTTTTACTCGTTACTGCTAAATGAAGTGAAGCATTGGAGAATTTAAGTCCAGCCATGCCTCCTGTTTCCTTGATAATTTATTTTCAGTAAGTGGGGTCCAAATTACTTCTAGGCAGGCATCTTCCTACCAACAAGCAGTTTGTAAATTCCAAATTAACACATTTTCAATCCCAATCATTTTGAATAAATGCACCTCTGTACACAAAGTACAGTCTTATTCCTTCCCAAACATTTTTCAGTACTGAAGTCTCCTAAATTCATTAGTTCCTGGAGTGTTAAACTGAGATTACAGAGAAGATAAAGCACATCTTACATGGACAAAGTAAATGTGTCTGGGATGGCACATCACTGCAGCAGAGAAATAGAACTGACTTTCAATCAAAAAAAACTTTTTCCTGTAAATGTGTTCTCACAACACAGTCCCGCATAACAACATTTCTGAAACAATGTTTAAAACACACAAATAAAAGAGTATCTCTTCAACACAAGGAATTTGCTCTAGCTACAATCACTAGTTACTACCCGCAAGACTGTATATGCAGCAATACAACTGACAGCTACAGAACAGATGTCTGCAGGGCTGTCTTCTCTTTGAAAATGCTAATACAGCTGACACCATGTTAACTTGTTTTCTCTCTTCTGTGAACACAAAATGCAAAGCAGTCCTTTGAAAAGCAGGGAACAGACATCTGCTTTGGATCAAGATCATAAGCAGAGGAGCAGCAGCAAGAACTCTGCCTGCCAAACAGTCACAAAAGGTCTTGCCAGGCCTGGGGAAAGCCAAACATGGACTGTACCAGCATGTGCACAGTGTTTCCCTCTGCAGTGGATTGGTTATGAAGTTTGCCGAAGTAAGAACCCATTTTTACTTGGAGGTGACTTTCTCAAATGCATCCCAGAGCACAAATCTGTGGCTCCAGCCCAAAAAACACTGCATGAGCAGCCCTACTAACAGTAAAGGGTAACAAGGCATTGAGTCTCTACAGAATGCAAGCTGCAATCTTGAGGACCCACAGGCTGTTTCTGATCCAAGTATAGCACAACATGTTAACAATAACAACCTTATGTCCTCCTCATAGAAGAATAAAAGAAACAAATTAATGCATAAAAAACATGACTAATTTTGGTTTTGTGCCTGAAAAAAGCCTTTGAATTTCATCTGCTGATTCTTCTTTCAGACTCACAATCTGAGTTGCAAGTAATCATCATAGTTCTGGGGCCCAGGAACGAAAAAATGGATGTCAAAGATTACGCATTAAGAAGTCCCCCAAACACTTTTGGAACAAAATAACACGTATCTATCTTTAGCATGGAAAAATGTTTTGCATTATGCTTTCTATTTAACATAGTCACCAAAAAGATGGTGGAATGTCATTTCAAATGTAAGATAGCTATAAAATTTGCACAGGAGATCTCAGTATCATATACAGATACAGTTTAACATACAACTTCTTGGAAATAAAGCATTTAGTTTTATCTTTCAAAAAAAAAACCCACCTCTATAATTCAACAAGAAACTGCAAAACTCAGAGGAAAAATGCTCTTTTTAAAAGATATCTTCAAACAGGATTGTCCCATAATACTTACAGAATAGTTCTTATTTCTCACTGCAGTACAACTAAAACAGTGTCAATGAAGCAGACACTCGGAGACGGTCATAAAACTTAGGATTTTGTGAAAGGAAAATATCAGCTTGGAGAAAACCCAGCAATAATTAAATGGGCAAATTCTAACCTGTTTCTGCATTATAGTTTTGAATATATCTGACAAATTTTTAACACATTGACATAGAACCTCAGAAGCATATTGCTTCACACATTTTTTTATTTTGAAGCATTTACAGATGATGAGCTAGTAAAAAATGAGTTCAGGTTACAATTAATTTGACAGAATGGAGACAAGAAATCGACTTTTCTCACCCAGGCTATGCTCTTCTTTTAGTCTCTTTTCCCATTTGGAGCTGTCCACATAGGCCGCGGAAAGAAGAGATCTTCTGCCTAATGAAGAAAGAAATCCCTGGGTAAGACAAGTTACTTAGATAACTCCAGCCTTATTAGATACCACCTTTTTCTGTCATATTTACAGAGTAAGATGCATGGCACATCTGCCTTTATGACACAGCTACAGTTCAGTAGCTACACAGTAACAGTTCAGATTCTTCCCACGTGGATGAGCCATTACCTTGGAATATTTAAAACAGAAAAGCTTTCCCCTGTGAGGTTTTTCTTACAGCATGAAACAAGTATTTCCAAACCTTAACTCTGTATTTAAGAAAACTACAAATACGTAAAGGTATAAAAAAACTCAAACAACAATAAAAGAGGCCTCTTTGTGCACAAATGCCTTTTGAATCAAATGCTAGCAATCAGCTAAGTGTAGCCTTAAAAGCAGAAGCAAAAAAAGTGGCTATGCACAAAAAGGCTCTTCTGTTGTTGCTGAGTGGATATTTTCACCACCTGTAAAGGCTTGTCCCATTGGAAATGAAAGCTGGATACTCATCTGGAAAGGCTTCCCTTTTTATAACCACCATTTTTCCCATCTGCTGTGAACTGCAGATTCACTGAAAAGTTTTTGATTATTTTTTTTCCAAATACCCTTTGTGCCACCTTTGAAATCTACTCAAGACACTGCATTAGGTTTCAGAACAAACCAGAAAATGCTTCAGCTGGGAGAATCTGTACATCACTCACAGACGACGAGGCCTCGAAAACACATGAGGAACACCTGGATGAAATCTGTGCACCACTTTACGCAACAGTTAGAAAGCAGGAAAAGAAAGGTATTTTTGGTTGGTTGGTGGGGATTCTTTTCACGCTGTTTGCCGGCACGTTGAGGAAAGAGGCGCAGAAAAGGTCTAGGGTTTGAGAGTTGGCTGGGTTTGGTTTTGGGGTTTTTTTGGGGGGGTGTTAGGATAAAATACTGTATATTCATTTACAGCTAAGCACAGCACAGGACAGTGCTCTGCCCGGGGCTGAGCTCTGGGCACGCGGAGAGCAGGAAGTAGCAGAG